TGTCAAATAATTTTAAATAGATTTCATATGTTAAGCAAATAGAAAATTGAAAGATGATGAATTTTGGAAATTAATAATGTAATTTAGACAGCGATATTAATTACGTAAATACATGATTTTTAACGATTATAATCTAATGAATGCGAATGACTTGATGAAATTTAACTGTTACTATGTAATTATTAAATGTAAGCATTAAGTAGATTGGTTAATTATTATTCTTACAAATTATAATAATGAGAAATAGCTTGTCGTTTGTAATATGCGGTAACTGGCGTATGTCGTTCAATTACGCAAGAAAGACATACGGACTAATTTAATTTCAATATTGTTATAGTTGATACTTGTTTTTCCTATTTATACTCATCTCTGTATGACAGGGAATACTGTAAACATTAAGTGGAGCAATAAACTATATTGACGGAACACGTCACAGCCATTTAACACATTATGAATTTAGGGATAAGCCTTTAAAGAAGTTCATACAGACTTTTGAATATTTTACAAATATTTAAGTTTTAATATTAATTATTCACTATAATCATGAAAGGTAACATGCATTACAATTCCTTACATTTATATTAAAATTATTAATATATTCTTATATATATATATATATATATATATATATATAAAATATGATTTTTATTTTCAAAGCACATTTTTCATATATTCAAAATGAAGATTAATGTGTATTTGATTCTATTGAATGACAGTATTAATTTATAAAATCTCTTTCAAAATGCCTATATTTTTTATTTATTTGAAAATTCTGACATCTTTCTGATTAAATTTATACTTAACAATTTTTTAACAGAATTAACAAGCAGATGAATTTATACTTCTTGTAAATATTTTTCATCTGTTCTATTCATATTATATAAATTTAATTTTATTATCTGTCGATAGTTTAACTACGGTAAAGATTTTTTTTTTTCTTTTATAGCATCATCATCATTGTTATATTAAGTAATAACTAAGACCTAATTTTTATTGAATATTATAATTTCATAACCTGATTATAAAATACAAGTTTTACTAAAATAAAAAATTATTGTCTTAAATAAATATTATTATAAGTTTTTTAGAGATTTATTTTAGATTCATGTGATTATTTTTTAAGTAATTTTCTTAATGATAAATTTATGAAATTTTGCTTTATTTATATTTATTCATTATAAGAAATTATATATTAAATATTTTTTTGTATTATAATTTTATCTTAATCGTATAAATTGAAAGAAATATAAATATTGTATATGATTTAGAGTAGATAAAATTTAGAACATTGAATTATTAACATATTTTAGGTTTGTATAATAAAACTATGATTTTTTGTTTGACTTACAATTTAATATAATGTAAAAATTAACATAAATGTTAAAATATGTTTATAGAAAACATTTCATAAATATGCATGAATTTAAGAAATTCATATTGCCTAATAAATATACCTTCGATAGAACAAGACTGCGAAATGTGAGAGGAGAAAAAATGAAAATGACAAATAAGAATTCAACGAATATAGGAATATATTGTTTTGCAAAACCTTGCATTTTAAAGTGTAATACTTTAATTATTTTCAATACTTTCTATCTTTATTTATCTTATTAATCCATTGTAATACATTTTTATGTATTAAAATAACTACAAAATTGCATTATCTTGAAGACTTTTATTTGTATGCTCTTTGCTTCTTATTGATGTTTATTTCATTTAAAGAATTTTTTTCGTTTTTCCAATAATTATAATATAATTATTATTTTTATATCATTTCATTCATATGGTTGACATGTTTGTTGGGTTCTCTTTGAATTTCCATTTACAGGAAATGTTTATTTACGATTACTTCGATTATTTTTATTTTTGTTATCTAATTACAAGTGTATATATATGGTAAAACATTTTTCACGATATAACATAATGAAAACATTTATGCAGTTTGATAATGGAGAAAAGGAGGAGCAGATTCGATTTCACGAGAATTACTTTTTTTTCATGTTTTCTTTGTACCTCTCAGCCATTTTCTTTATTCACTTTGCTTGAGACTTGTCATTACAGGTCATGACAGATGCATATTCTTTTAACTTCAACGTTTGCATTTTTGCCTATATGTTGTTTTTCTCTTTTTTTTATATACTATCGAGGCTCGTATGAAGAATTTTCGAAGCAATGGAGTTTACCTCTACATAATTGTGTCGATGCTGTTAATATTAGTCGAACGAACTCATGAGATATACACTCAATCTTTTGATATCTTGTCTGTGACTTAAACTTTTCATGCAACTTTTACTTTTATTTTACCTACTGATTTTATTTCTTAGAAGTATATTTGATTAGATGGATTGTCCATTGAGTTACTAAAGTTATCGGCTTCATTATATAAAACAAATTAAATGTTATTGCTATATAATAGTGTAATTCAAAACATTTATTTCATAAAAATTCAATAATAATTTAAAAATAATATTGGAATCGTGTTTAATTATTGAAAATTTAATAATATCATTATCTATCGATATTATTCTTATCATATCATTATCTATCGGAAAAGAGTCTAATTTTTCTAATATAAATTTTCTATTCCAGCATGAGTATTAATTAAATCGGTATTCAACAATAGAATACTTATATAAAGTTTGTAATGAACGTGCAAAATTAAAATGATTAAAGTGCGTAACTGGAGCAAAATATTTTTAAATATTTGAAGTAATGTTACACTACACCGACGAACATTTTATTCTTTGTAATGCTGTCTTTTTCTATAATTATATTAATAATTATATATTGTTTTCATTTATTTGTTTATATTAACTATAATTTTTAATAAGATAATATAATTTATTATTATACTTCATATCAACTCACATGACAATTTATGATTTACTTTTTTTAACCATGTCATTCTATTTAAAAAAATCTACTGTTATTGTTAATCATATGTCAAGATGTTACAAAGCATCTGGCTTTTTCCCTACGATGTTTTATTTTTATTTGCTTGGAGAATAACGTCGATTCAGCTGTCATTCTAGAGATGCGAATGTCATACAAATAGATTAAGAAAATAAGCAGGACGTAAAATTTCATTCAAGCGGATTTCGCCGAATTCAAAATTAAGGTACTTCCAGAAGATATTTCAAATATTTGAAAAGAAGATGGATAACAATACTTCAATATTCTTTGTTACTTTTTTATACATATTTATTATAAGCGGTTAATTGGCTCCTTAATGTAATTAAAGATAAATTAATATTTTAATAATAATGAAGTTTTTATTATTATTTATTTTTTAAATAAAAAATATTTTGTTTTTTATAAAATCAATGAAACAACAGTATTCTCAAACAACTTTTTAAGAACGTATATTATTAAATCAAGCAAATAATTATAAACGTAAATAAACGAATTAATAAACAGTATCTCTGGGTAAAACTATGAATGACGTCTTGAAATTAAAAAAAACCCCTTTTTCCTTTAATCAATGTTTCGTGAGACCTCATTTAATTCGTGCAAATCATTAACAAAATGAAGAATAATAACAAAAAGAAGTCACGTTCATAAACATGATGGATCGTCAAGTCTGGCGTAAAAACTGGGTAACAGGCAAGGAAAGTAGCGAAATGGGGCTGCATTCGACAATAAAGAGGGATGCCAAGACGAAAATATTTAAATGGCTGAGCATATTGACTGTAAACATTGAAAAAAAGTTGGTGTAAAAGCGATTAGACTTTGCAACGATAGACGTCTTCTTCAAATTTGTAAAATTATGCTTGCAGAGAGTTGTACCAAAATGGCATATACTCGGTACACGTGAAAACCGTAGTTCTCGTTATTACCACTCGGTTACAGCGCAAGTTTGCTTCGTCTTCGTCTTAAGATGAAGGTGGAAGGTGTAGCGTAGGTGGAATAACGGTAAAGTAATAGTGGAGGTAAAAGCGCTTGCAGCGAGCGTAAAATTAGCCGACGTACTTTCCGCGGTTTGAGAATACAGAATATGTCGAAATGTGGCCGAATGAATGGATGTCATTAATGCCTACGAGTTTTTAATTGTATTATTTTTAATGAAGAATCATTCAGTTTCCAATTACTCTTGAATGGCAAATAAATATTACAATGGTCGCTATTTTAGAGTTTGTAACTGTGTAATTTTATTACAATTATATAATAATAGAGTATATAGACTGAGACAAGAGATTTAATATAGCAATATATCGTTGGAGGTGAGCCTCAACTATCGGAGTTAGATTATCTATCTTTAGTTATAGATTCATTATATTACACACATCATTTTTACCGTATAATTTATATGATGTAATTCTAATAAAAATTATATAATTACATGATTTGATATTTATTATACGATACATATTCATATGTTACCTTAGAACCTTTGGTAGAGCCCCGATAATCCTAGAAATTTCGGTAATTATCAATTTTATAATGTATGTGTATATAGATGTATTTAAATGAAAACAATTATTGATAAATTTGATATATTTTAGTTTTTCTAAATCCATTTAATTTAAGAATGCTTTTTACAATCTAATTAGTAAATACATTAGTAAGTGCAATTGGAATAATGTTTTTTTCAACGGCTGATTTTAATGGGATTCGTGCTTTAGGGCAATCAAATAAAGTCATTGTCAATGTATAGTTCAGAATTTTAACGTTTTTTTAACCTAGATTTCGGCTTTTTTTGTTACCTTAACTGTCGCATGAGCTTTCAATCGGTAGTGCTGTCAAATTAAAAAGAATATTTTTATTATGATATTATATAATATATACGTATTATAAAATTATAAGTAATATATGATATATCAGATTATTTGTTAAATTCCAGATTAGTCGTTATATGTACCTTACTACTACTAATCAATGGTTTACTTTAAACTTTCCACAAAAAATAATAAAAATGATAAAATTATTCAATTGAAATATTAATTTTTTTTTAATGTATAAATTATGTTTAAGCTTACTAGTTCATTATTTGATTTTTTTAGAATGCAAATGTGCAAGCATCAAACCAAGGTCCAGTTCAAGGAAGTGACACCCAGGGTGGACCTAACACGGTTCTACGAGTTATCGTGGAACACATGATCTATCCGATATCACTTGATATACTTTATCAGGTAAATAATATTCAATTAATTGTCTAATTAAATTAATAAAAACTTCTAATTGAGCTTCATTTGTTTATGGCAAAATTTTATAGTTTCAATAGTACATAGATGTAGTGCTTTAAAATATTTCAGTTAAGTTCAACGACGATTAAAATTTCATGCTATCTTATAATAATTATCCATAATGATTTAAATGATAGAATTTATCTTCTAATATTTAAATAAATATGAAATATAATTAAAACATTTCAAAGAAAAAATATTGTCGATATTTCATCATCTATTGCAGTGCGTTTAAATGAACCATTAAGTTTTTAAGTTCAACGAATGTAAAAGAGATGAACAAGAAAATAAAAAATCAATAAATAATGAGATAAATAGGTGAATGCGTAAGTTGCTTACTAAATGAGTTGAAGCTGAAAACCGTATCACTAACAATTCACTTTTAGTTATCAAGCAGAAATTATAAATATGTGTAAGGAAAGAGCCGAAAAAATAAATACAGAGCTTATGGAAACTTAAGGGAGTAGATAACGTAGGTGTAAGTGCTATATCTTGCGCGAGTCATATATTTTTAACTAAAGTCCATTCGTCTTTTCTGGTTCGAACAAACTGTAGACGCGCAGTCTGATCGGACTACTACTCGATAGTACTACTAGCAAGAATACAATCAAGTTTCATATCCTACGATTATCCTGAAACGTTTGTCTTTATCTGAATTCATAAGCATATAGTCCTGCATGAGTATACTTAAATTGCTTAATAGGCATAGTTTTACGTTGTATTTAGTTGCTTATCTTTTACGAATATGTAGATTGGAAGATTTACTAAAGAGTTTAGTAAAAGAGAATTGGATTGGATTATAGCCTTGGCATAATGAGTTGTGAAATTATGATTTGACCAACTTTCCAAAATATTTTTTGTGTTAAATTCAATAGTATGAATAAGAAATGAACAATGTATGCTTCTTATATATTGCGTAAGTCTTATGATTTAATAAAAAATATAATGTCTAATTTTTCAGAAAATAAAACATAGCATTTAATTGTCACAATTAAAAATAAATACAAATAAACCGAAAAATCAACTATTTTGCTATGTAATAAGTTGAGAAAAATAAAGAATACATTGAAGTAATTAATAGTTTACACTTAGAAACACTTTATTGGTATTTGTTTCTCTTTAACGTTGGCACAGTTGATTCGTTTTTGGACTCATGAATGACGTTCTATTGGAACTCACATAAGTAGACTTAAAAGGTTGTGTAAACGTGTATTGGGCAGGGGAAGCATTAACTAGGCTATTCGGGTAATCAGCTAAGAAGATTAGCATCACAAGCTCGGTCTGATGTCACATTCTTCTTTCTCCGTTTCCTCTTTCTATTTACGCGCTTAGGACAAGTAGAATTAAGATGAACGTAAATATGAAAAGTGCTCCCTCGTTGATGTGCAAAACGTGGCTTGCCAAGTTCGACAAGAGTCCGCAAGAAAAATTCAGAACATCGACAGACCCTTTTTGAGAAATGCATTTACAGATTATGGGCGTCGAAAAAAGACTCGCATGAGGTTTTGGGGGAAATATTTTTAAAAGCGTCTTTACAATTTTTTTTATTGTTTTTTTCCCTCCTATTATGCTAATTTATTATACAAATGTATGCTTATATTTTTAAAAGAAAATTCATGTTTATATTTTAAAGTAAAAAATATCTGTTAGAAATGTAAATATACAGAATTTAAGTCCTTTTTCTATACTTTGCTGTATTTCAAAATACTAATGTTAATTTTTTTAAAAGTGAATTAAAATAATTATAATAAATAAGGCACATTTTTTATGATGAATTTTTTCAATTATATTCTTATGGTAATAAAATATTCTTAATCAATAACAACCGATAAAAATATAAATTAACATTTGACGAGTATACAGACAAATTCAATGAATAAAACATACTTTACATTTAATTGTGATAAGTAATCTATGTGCGCGTTTGTTTTTAAATATAAATTCAATTTTCCACAACATTTGCCGAATTAAGTTGTATTGCTTTATTAATTTAGCTAAATTGCTTACAATTAAGTTCAATTTGATTATTACAGAAATTATTTATGTATTAATTTTTATACATAATAATTTACAATCAAATTTTTTATAGATATTTATGTAAACAACAAATGATTGTAGAATTTTAAAATTACGGTGTATTCATCGGTAAAAATAAAAATTATAAATCAAACTAAAAATAAATAACAAACGAGATATTATTTATTCTGCATTTTCAAAGAATTCACGAATGTCTATATTCGTATATAACACGACGATGTGTTCATAGTTTAAAAATAAAAAATGAATTCTACTATTCCCGTTTATTTTGTACTTAAAAAAGAAAATGAGTGGAAGTGAAGAGGAATAAAAAGTAAAATTTTAATTAGTCTATTGCTTTATCATCTGTGATTTTTATGAAAAGATCTTGCTTTGTACTATAAAAATAAAACTCGCAAACTATATATCAGCGATCCGTTCATTAACCAGAAAACTTCCTCATAACATTATTACGAACTTCTAGACGGTAAAATCAGTAAGGAAGATGCGCTTCTGTTTCGTGGCCGATAACACGATGCTGCAAAACAAAGCAGACGCCGAGCAAAGAGGAACTTTTCTTTTATAGAAAAGGACCATAGCTCAAAGTTAAATACGACGAAGCCCGAGAAGGTTTTTAAGGGATAGCTACCGGGGATATAAATTGTGGTTATGCCACGAAGAATAACGGAAGAAAAAAGAAGCCTGGAGGCGCTGAATCGAAACTGACAAATGGAGTAGATGCCCTAGGATGAGAAGAAATCAGCAAGAAATATACATGTATAAATAATATGACGAACCTTTGTAAGGAAAAGGATGTGCATAAAGTGAAATCATGATATTCCGTGGCCTTTAAAATACAATTTTACAATAATTACAATAATTTTCGTTCATTCTTGTATGTGCTGCTAGTTCTACCCTCAATGATATGCCTTGTTTCCTTTTTTTTTCTTCTTTTCTTTTTTTTTTAACCATGTTCCAGTATATGAAGTACTTAATTTTGTCGCGTGAAATTTCATCAGATTGCCGATTGCAACTGTAATTTGACTATGAGTTAATATTGAGATTGAGAAATTTATGGTGTTTGGCTTTTGTTTTAATATTGAATGCAAAAGCAATTTATGAAGCTCTTGCTTTTACAAATTTTGTGAAATACAGTTTTAGATTATTTATTTATAATAGGTTAGAAAGTTTTTAAATTCTATTTTTTTTCCTTAATCCTGAAAGCTTCATATTTCATAGTATATGCCTAATTAAAAATTCAAGATTGGTATATTTCTAGTATATCATTAATATTGTTTTTCATAAAAAAAAGTGCTTCCGTTATCCAAATCTAAATATACAATATTTATTTATTATTTAAATCTTATATTTAATGACGATAATGAAAAGTTGCAAATTACATTTAAAACTCAAAATTGAACTTTAGAACTTCATAATTCAATAATAATAATAATAATAATCGAATGCAATAATAAAAAGTTCAAAATTAATAATTAGTTTAATATTTGCTGTACATTTATATTGGATAAGCCATATCGATAATACTGCTTCTATAAAAAATACGTTTTTTAATTAACATATGATTTTTTTATTTTCGAGTCGTAGAAATTCCATTAATAGAGCAAATTTCTTTCCTAATACATTAAAAAATTGTTCATTTATATTCATTTGCATTTCCAAATTTTTAATTACATGCTATTATTATGAAATAAATGTCAATGTATAAAGATATTAGCCTAAAGTAGATGGGGGCTGCAACTGCATGAGCCAAAATTGTGCACAACAATTTAATATGAAATAATGTGAGCGTATAAATGAAATAAATGTACAACTTGTAATAATCAATATGAACAATATTATCTATCTTATTTCAATATACTATGGCATTTTCATGTAATAAATAATGCATGTTCATTTGCAGCTTAAGTAACAAAGTGTAGCTATTAAACCTTTATGCATATACTTATTTTCCTAGCACATTCACTCGCGTCCATTTTTATTACATAGTCTAACTACCTATATATAGGAATTTAGGTACATACATGTTAGCAGTATCAAAATATTAAAGATGTTGATAACAAATTGTGTTGAATGCTAACTTGTGTAACACTGAAGTAGTATTTAAGTATATCAACTTCTTACAAAAACATCATCAAGCACAAGATATCAATTCTCTCTCTCTCTCTCTCTCTCTCTCTCTCTCAATTGCAAGGCTATTTTACAAATATTTCAATTCTTGAAATTAATTCTTATTAGACTTTAACACAGATATATATATATATATATATATATATCTGTGTTAAAGTCTAATAAGAATTAATTTCAAGAATTGAAATATTTGTAAAATAGCCTTGCAATTGAAGTTTACATCAGGCACTTAGCGTAACTTAGGCACGAAACTGTTGGATAAAGGGAGGGAGATAAGTGAACGCGTCAATTAGACAAATTAATAAAGAATATTTGCCTAGGTTATATCTTGACTTTTATGAGTCTATCGTTACGATGTAGTTTTGTTTTTAAGTACCTAACCAAGATCACGAGCTTACATTGTTATATACACGGAGCTTTTATTACGAATGTATTAGAAAGGCAGGCATCAATGTATCCATTGATACTTAGAGTTGATTTAGAAACCTTTAATATTGACATGTCTAGTTGTGCTTGTGGTTACTGGAGTAGTTCGCATAATCCCTGGATCACCTGTGTCATGCCATAGATTTGTAAATTAATTTACATCAATGTACTTAGATATTAATTTTATTTATAAGCTGTTGAAGTATTTATTTAGTATAAAAAGAAAAAAGAATAAAACAGATAAGATAGTTTAATTAATGAAGTACAATATATAGTGACTATTATATATGCGTTGCGTTGATAATTGAAACACCCGATGAATAATATATAATCCTCTATATATTTTTACAATAATAGAATAAGAAATTAAAATATTAAGTAGAAAAAAATATACATTAAATAAATATTATTAAATATGACAGCTATATATTACACACACAGATATTACAACGACATAGTTTTGTAATTATTAATGATTCTCAATGTACAAATTAGATAATCGTAAAGTTTCTACAAGTTTCTACGCTCAATGCAACGACACGCAGATCAATTTTCAAGTTACTGAAAATGCTGATGACGGGTAAACGGAAAAAGTGAATGTATAAGTGTTGAGAGCTGGAAACTAAAGATATTTGAGGATATCTCTCCCTCTCCCATTCCCACTCTCTCTCTCTCTCTCTCTCTCTCTCTCTCTCTCTCTCTCTCTCTCATATTCTTCCTGAAATTATAATATAAATTAATTTACATTGTCGGGGAATATTATATTTGCCTCGTATGTTCAGTGACTGATGCTGCTGAAAGTTTGGTTAAGAATTAGCGTCGGTCACGTTTAGTGTCGCACGTATAAATGCACGGTTACATGTAATCGGAGCTTTATTCTATTTACCATTAAACATAAACAAGTAATCTCTTGTGTGTTGTTATATTCAGACATGAAAAATATTTAAAGTATAAAAAAAAAATTTTTTTTTTTAAAGTTATCTATATATATATATTAAAAGTTTAAAATTCAACATAATTATAAATTTGCTCATTCTCGACTTTTTATGTAATGTAGCCATGTTAGAAAAATTCTATTTATTTTACTTTTATTACACTTGTTTATCAAGTTTGTTAACAAATTAAGGTAATCTTAATTTAATGTTTATTTAATGTCAATGCACACTCACTTAAATAAATGTAAATAAAATAATAAACATGTTCGCTGCATTAATAATCAGAAAGTACATCCGTCAATATTTACTTGATGTAAATGATCAAGGCTAACGACGAGCGTATAAGAAAAATAAACATCATTGAGTCAACATTATCATTGAGTTGAACAACAACAAGACTAGCATAAGTATTTCGATATTATACTTCATAATACGGAATATAAAAGAATGACAGAAGAGCTGGAAAGCTGTAGGAGTAGAAAGAATAAAGAAAATAAAAAAGTCTTGGAAAAGCTCTGCTTGCGCCACGCGAAATCCTATCGGCTGTGCAGAGGAAGCTACTCCGTTCGGTGGTAATCATTGGTAGAGGTTGACTTTTCGCTTTCCACTAGCCGCAGTAGCTAGCCAACTGAAAACGGCGACAAAATAAAGGTCGCCGAGCAAATAAAATATTAGTAATAGTTCTCACGAGCGGCGTTCGGCTTCTTCTTTCCTTTTCACGTGCACTGGAGTTCTGACGCGAGTATTGGTGAGGCTTGTACGTGTGAACAGCTACTTGATTTCCCGTGGGGTTTCTTGTAAAAGTGTACCAATGCACACGAGTAGGAATGGCCTTGTGCGTTTTAAGAGAAACTGGAGAAGAAAGTATGGATATACAAGGAGTTGAATGTCTGTAGTGGCGGTGGCACTATAAGAAAGAGTAGGAAAAATGTAAATAACGAAAAGGAGAAATAAAAGTGAAAGGAAAAAAAGTATAAGTGAAAATGGTAAAATATACACGGGCAAATGCATGAAGAGTGCAATTCTATAGAATTTTTAACTCTCGACTTTATTCAAAATGTACATATATTTTTTATAGTAACTCTTATAAGATATTTATCTGATTTTACTACAATATATAGTTATTCACCCCAAAAATGGTTTATATTTGGTATCTAGAATAATATTTTCCTCTCTAAAAATTAATAATAAAAGTTATGTTCAGACAATATTATATTATATTGCTATCAAATGGTGTTTCATTAAACATTTAAACGAATTACTAAATTATGCGAATGACTGTTAAAAGCAAAAAAAAAACTTCGATTCTTTATGTGTACGATCTTGCAAATGTAAGATTAGTTACATTTTCGTAACTTTCCTGTATTAAGCGTAGAATATTTCTTGTTATATTGTACATTTTCATAATTTCATACATGCCATTCATTTTATATAATTTTTTTTACATACCAAATACAAAGTAATGTAATGATTTAATATGGTTATACTTTTTAAAATTGCAACATTTCGTTTATAGGTAATCCGGGAAATTAATGTTTTTACACGTAAATTTTACACTATATTTTCACCATAGCACTGAAATCAATCGCCTAAATACATATTTTTTTTCTAAACATAATTCGTGTACCATTTAGCCATAAGAGATATTCAAAATAATTTTAACCAAGTTTTTAATTTAATTGTATCTTGGTATTGCTTTTTAATACTAACAATGATAAATGTTTTAAAATGTATTTTGTTCCATACCATTAGTACATCGATTTAATTTACATTATTTACCGTACCAAATACTTATACTTAGAATTCCATTATAATAATGAGAGGCTTGCTTAAATTACTTAAAATTATCCCGAATATTGTTCTGACATTTATATAAAACGTATTATTTATAGTTAAAATCATTAACAAAAATTTTGAGCCATCGATAGAATTATTTAGAACTATTTTAAATATTATCGATGAATATTCAGGCTTCTATTAGCTCGGATTACAGAGATTCGCCGCTCGATTATCAACGTAACCGAGTGCTCTTGGCTGTGGAAAAGCAAACCCCTATGTATAAGCGAGCAAATAATGCTCATAGCAATTTGCCTCGAGTCAGAAATCCTGCTGGCTAGCACATATTTTCTGAATTAATCTAATTAAATGGTTAAACTAATTACCGTATAAAATCATTCCCGGCGCCCAGTAATATATTTTATTTAAACAATTAGAATTCTTAATTAATGTTTTGATTTTCTAAAATTGTATCGTTTTAGATTTATTGGTGTTTAAAATTTTAAAGAAATTAATATTATTTTGAGTAAACTTCATATTGAAACTGATTGAATCTAAGAGTTCATTATCATAAATGATTAACTTCGAGGTTATAATAAATCGTAGAATTGTAACTATTCATTAATTTATATATATAATTTATAAGAATATTTATATTAATACTAGAACAAATTCCATAGCAAATAATTTATAGTTGTGAATTATTTGAATTTTTGTTTATGAAATGTAAATATAATTACAAATTTTTATATAAAATTTAAGTTAGTATTTTAAATTAAGAATAATGTAAGAAATATGTAACAACAATTTATTCCTTAGATTATCAATAATTTAATGTTTCTTTTTTCTTTTATTTTTTTACAGATTTTCACACGATATGGAAAAGTTTTGAAAATAGTCACCTTTACAAAGAACAGTAAGTAACAATATTTAATTTGATTTGTTCCAATATTTTAATAATAATAAAGAATATTTTGTAAATAGTAGCGTTAATTATGTTCTATAAACAATAGAAACGACTGTTAAATTTATTTTTAATAATAGTCAAGTAGTTTTAAAAATATTATTTTAAAACAATATACCGAAATACTTGCCTATTTCAACATTTAAAATATTTTTCAAATAAATGTATATAGATAGATTTTTACTTAATGCCATGAAATAAATGAAAGTATTATCAATTAATTGTTTAAATATTTATTTTATAAAAAATATCACTTAGCTTTATTAAAATACTAAAATAATTTTACGAAAATATAGATTTCAAAAGTTAACAGTAATAATTACAGTTGAATATAAAATTGAACATGTTATTTGCAATTTTCATATTTAATGTTTTAATATTATTGAAACACTATTTTCAATGTAATACAAGTTTATAATAAAATTTGTTTCTACTAGAATATAGTTATGGAATGAATTGTTGTAATAATATAACAATGTGAATATTTTACAGAAGAAAATTTTGCCAAAATAGAGCATTTTATCATGAAAATTAAAAAACTTTTTTTCGGTCAAAACTTAAGTCATTTTATTGCTAATTAAAATTATGGTTCCATTAAACGTCTTTTAATTAATTTTAATTTCATTTTTTATCGAGAATATTGATTGTCTAAATATATCTAGATAGATTGCACAATGCTTGTATAAAACGTATACGATTATTTTTAATTATTTACTAATTAATACGTTTGATTATTATATTCTTATATGGTTATATATTGTTATTGTATTATTATTATTATTATGTTTATGAAGTAGAGATACCTCTATATAGATGTTAGAATTCGTACATGCATCTTAAAAAAAAAGATAATACGATAAATTTTTAAAGGGCATAAATAAGAAAAATCATAATCAGAAAATGTCGAGATTTATTTAACAAATATTGTATCGCATAGTATATGTGAATATATCCATAACAGAATATTACTTACTTAATAGCACATTTTCAAATGATTAACAATAAAATTAGTAACGTGAGGATTATTTATACGATAACTAATATTAGTTTAATATGTTCTTTAACCGTTATCGATTTCAATTATTTTAAGAATACTTTAGAATTATACTACAAAATGTCGTTATAAGATAAATTTTGTATAAATATTATTGTAAAATCAAATTTTTGCTGGTACTTAAATATTCATGTACAATGCTAGTTTTAAAGAATTGATATTGATATTTTTAAATAAGCTATCTCTTCATTTATCCCACAGTATTTAAAATATGTATATTATATTGTTTCTTCAGAAGAGAAATCAAAATATCTGGGAAAAAATGTATGAAATAATAAAATATATTGTACTACGTCTAGATACTAACCATTCGTAGTAAATCGAAATATTGATATCCAAATTTTTATGATTTAAACTTTTTATAAAAGTAGACTAAGAAAGTTAAAAAGAAATCTGCATAAGAAATGTGTATAATGCTTTATCATACATTTTATTTTGAATTGCCAGTTTGCGTTCTATAAGGACATCATGTAAAAAATAGTTCACATATATTTGATAAATACGATAAAAAAAATATTCTTATTCGTGAATGAATTGGCATCAACTTTTCAGGGTTCAAATGTGTTGTGTGGCATTCTTTATGAAGTCATTAAATTTTATGTCCGTCACTACTCTTTTTTGTCGCAAATCATCACGAAACTTTCGGCAGAATGCGTACATCATAAAGCCAACGTGATTAATTAATTTAATTACACAAAGTCGCGCAAAACATCCTAAATGGTTCGGTGAGGGGTGGGGAACTACTCGCTACTTTAGTCGAATGTTATACATCAAACGCAGATGTATACATTCCTTTTTCACCTTAAGTTCTGTGCTTCGTATATTTGTCTGCCTTTAGGTATATACGTATATGCATACGTGCGTGTGTGTTTAAGCACATGAGGATAAACAAGGGGGTGGCTGGTTGGCGCTCGTTTATTTAATTACCATGTCCGTTTGGATTTTCGCTTCTAATTAAGCTAGACTCGTGGTTACTTTCGTCGCGTGTATTTCTTCTTTTTCAATGTGACAGCAAGTTTCGACTCGGCCCGGTGGAAAAAAATAACTATGAAATTATTTGTCGAGTCCAAAGCTCCTCCTCTTGTTAACTTTTCCGTGGTATGTGGTATCAAAGCTTCGTTGAAGCATATTTTTATTGAATGTTGTTCCTTAGAAATGATCTTATAAGAACATGTATTATATATGTACTTCATTACTGTTGGTAAAAGATAAATATTAGACATTTTATAAATGTTTTATTATGTAAACATGACTTATCTCTTTAACCGAAAATTTTCAATTACATTAGTTTTGTATCCAATAAATTTTGAAAATTTTGTTCCTTATCTGTTTTCTAACAGTTATAGGACACAGATTTTACAGATTTAAATTTGAAAATTTTAAATTAAAGTTTTAATAATATATTTGCCATTGTCATTGCTTTGCCCTCCTTCAAAGAATCAATTGTGATCGCATAAGTATAACTAGCATGTATTTTAACTAGTCTCTATTAAAAATGTTCATATACCATATCAAAGTATTAGAAAAATAAATTATATAGAATAAGCGATGACATCTAACTTTGATACATTATTTTTCTATTATATTTTATTATTCACCATTTCTGAATTTCATTGAGGTTTGATATTTTAATTTCATTACAGTTTATATACATTTGTGTACAATTATAAATTATTGAGACATAAATAAATAATTATCATTGAAAATTAAAAATATTATAATTATATATTCTATCTATTTATATCTAATTAAATAATTCGCATTGGATTTTGATTACTTTTTCAAGTCATATTATATATAAATTTATAATTATTTATAATAATTATATATAAAGACAATTTTTAATGTGACTTTAAAACATTGAAATTAAGATATTTTAAAATAATTCTGGTGATTTAATTAATTTTTTCTTTTTCCTTTTCAGACTCATTCCAGGCTCTTATTCAATACACTGATATGCTTTCAGCACAAACTGCAAAATTTGTAAGTATTCGTTTAATAATTTGCAATTATAACAGATTTGATATTATGCATATTTTTGTTAAATATATTTTTGGTAAATGTATTTATAACTATTATATAAGCTATTATATTAAGCATGATCATTTTTATGCCATAATGAATAATTTATGAAAATTTTGTGTTTTTAAATTCTTCAATTACTATTTTGAGAATGAAATAGCAATGACAAGTGTCTTTTAAATATAATTAGAATTTTGTTTAATGAATTTGTGTTATACACTCATAAATAATTAAAATATATTTGAAATTACAATAGTTTTAAAATACCGCAGTAAAATACAGTATTAAATTTGTCAATATGGCAATTAATATTTTATAGCTTTTTTCAAGTAATAAGCTACTGTATAGGGGCAATAAATTTATTATCCATTGATTATAAAAGACGTTTAGAAACAAAGTAATTATTTCTAATAGTATATCAATGTTAAGAATCTTCCTATTTAATTCATATTTTTATTGCATAAAATTTAGGTTTTATTTTTACGTACAACGTAATTTATTCAGAAAAATTTACAATGTATGCAGAATGAGAAAAAATTAATTTGTTTCAAATTTAGAGAGATTCACTCAAGTGAGTTTCTTTAATCATAACTTGTTAATTATCCTATTGAAAATCAGGCGATCTCATGAAGCAGCTAATATGTTCATTCCTTCTGGTGAATTAATTAAATCTGGTATGAAAATTAGGCAATAATTGGATTGTTATTGATGGACCGTCAACTACTTTTAATTTCTTAACTTACTTTTTTTTCATTTACAAAAATATTCATAAATATATTTATTACACTACCAGATAATTATAAACTTTGCAATCTAAAAAATTCACTTACTAATACAGGTGGGACATTTTGACTTGCATTTAGGCCATCTACAATAGACATACAAAACAAAATGTAAAATTTATGCTGAAACAGTATTAATGAAATAATATTTCACTATTCTTATATAAAAGGACTAAAATATTTTCTATTAATATTATGATAAATTTTAAAAGTTCCATTATTTCAGGCTTTTGTGAAAACCTTTTTCAACTTTTATAGTATTTCAAAACTCTTATTTTGTATACAGAAAATAAGTTTTATTAACATTTTTGTGACTTGTCGTATATATAATAATAAAATAATGGAATGCAAAACACTTTAAATTGTTTAAATAGATATTTTACTGTAGTGTCTTACAACTTTCCTTTTATACCAGGGATAATATAAATAAACTTGGGTCGCAATAAGCCCCGTCTTTTGTCGTATGTGTGACTGTTACTTTGCTTTTTATAGGTCAATATCCATATTACCTAAATTTATCTATTCGACTCTCCGTTCAATCTTTTTATAACTTAATGCACTTATATCATTGACGTTTTTTTTTTTTTTTATTTAAGAAGCCGAAAGTCTTGACACTAACCTGTACAAAACTAATTGATTTCTCTTCTATTTCTAAATATTCAAAATACTGTCTAGCTAATAAAATCATATTCGGGCTTCGCCTAACTTATTCTCCTGAATGAGATTGTTCTCTCTAGTCTCGCTTCGTTATTTCTCTTTCCTCTTAGTATACTTTGCCTTATTTCGGCTATTTAGCGGCGTTTTGTTTTGATTTTGTTTTCGTTCTTCTCGGGAAGTCGATGAGATCGCGGCCACGTTGTTATAACTAGGCGCCTTTGTACTTAATTTCTTAGCGGCAAGCCTTCATTGGCGGAGACGAGATTCGTGCACTCGTCAGTTTCATATTCGCGAATATTGCTAATGAGGTTCTTAGATGTACCCAGATATTGCTTTGTTATATGGATTAACTAATTACTTGAAAAAAATTCGTATAATTATAATAATGTTACGCTTAGACGCGTGCGTATTTTCCTATGTAAGGTGATTTATTGTGATTTATTAGTTATGATAGCACGCAAAATGAATAATTTTACTACCTTGAAAGTTATGCCTAAGTAAGAAAAAAAACTTTCACGTTTATTATAAATTAAGAAATTAAATATATATTTTTATTAGGTGAAATGAAGGATTCATGTATAATAATAGTTGGATGCCTATAATAAAAATCTAAATATTGTATCTATAAAAGTATAATACACTATCGTGTCTGTAAATACTACATCAAAGAATAATGAAAGCAACCATTTATCTTATTTGCTTACAAACAAAATTTGACTGTTACTCTCGATTTTCATGATTATACTTTTTGATTAAAAAGAAACGCCAAAATCTATAAATCGTTTAAATAAGAAGTCCGTATGAATGTTTTATCATTATTTTGTACCGTGCTATTTTCAAGCTACTTAGTTGCATGGTTATTGCACCTCACTGAGAGATTTATGTGCTTGCAAATTGCGAGTAACGAACTTATTTGTTAGCACAAGTCTTGCTTTGTTGATCTACTTAATTAATGACTTTAAACATTTAGCTCTTGGGTTCTTTAAAAAGAATTTAACTTTCATGATCTACTTTTGAATGAAAGTACAGTTAATCTAACTATGTAATTTTATACATGGCTGTATATTTTTTTTTTATTTTTTTTTTTTTTAATCATAACTTTCATTTGGCAAACTTTAAAACATTGAAAGAGATAATATTAACTTCAAAACTAAAAAATGTTTTTGAAAAGCATAATAAGAAATCAATTCGATTAATTTTGTATTTGTAGATGTTAAAAACTGTATAAATTTATTATCATTAATAATATATTTTATATAAAAACCTTTTTAAAACAATTATATAATCTATAATTTTATGAATAATACAAAATATTTCAATATGATTTATCTTGAAAGTTTAATTTATCTTTTTTACAATTAAACTTTCTTAAATTTAGTTACCACATTGACTTTTCATCATATTAAAACATTTTTTTTCTATGTATTTAATAAATTAGAAATATATTTATAATAATTTAATAAAACAATTATAATATTGTTTTTTTTTTTTACGAAATATGTATTTCACGAAATATACTATAATAGAGGTTCAGGCAGGTACATTCGTATATTTCACGAAAAAGTGCAATCCACAAATTTTACTGATGTAATAAGTTAAGAATTTGTGCAGTTTTTTTAGTACTGTGGTCATTAACATAGTCAAAATTTAGGAATGTAAAAATTTAGGACTGCGAAAGCATCAATTTTTTTTTTTGGATAAATCTACGTTATAATCATCTATACTGTTCGTTAATATCTAAAGAGAATTACAAAATCGATCCAGTAATCAGTGGCAACAGATGCTATTGCTCTGGAAATTTCTCTATATACACATCCGTTATCGTATAATATTCGTGCACTCAGCTTTTGTTGTGCTTCTATCTCATGCAGATAGCTTGGGCATGTAATACTTTGATTACTCGAACTTCATGCGCGTTTGATTCGCTTCATTAAATATGAAGATTCATTATGTTGTTTCGATATAAAATCTAGCGATATGATAACCTGGTTCATTCCATGGCAAATGCGTAGTTGCTTATAATCAAGCACATCACGTATTGTTGTGCGGCATATGTCATTCACGTTCGTTACTCCTTCTTCAATAGCGTAATACGGACTTCTGAATATTAATGCTTAAATATGATTGCTATGGGAATTAAAGCTTCTTTGTCTTGAAAATTTCACTTGAAAAAAGTTATTTTTACTTTCATAATTATATTCCTAATTAATAGATTATTATCAATTATATTTTAAAATTAATATTTAAAATTAATTAATATTAATATAACGTTTTAGTGTACTAACACTATAAAATTTTTTACATTATACAAAAGTATACCCGTTTTAACTTTTATAATTAGATTTCAATTTTATTTATAAGAGACATTTTTTTTTTGGTCATAAGAATGTATTTATTTTATTTGAAATATTATTTTTAAAGTAGTATGTAAAATCCATACATTTCTGATTTATAACTTTCGAAAATATATTTTTATCTAATTGCAAATTCTCTATATGTTGTTGTCCACATTACAGTATTATGATCCACTTTAGCATATTTCTCCGTATTTATTCACAGAATTATCAATAATTGTTATTTAGTGTGTTTGTATTTGTATCTGGCTGTACCAGCGAGCGCGCGCGCTCACCTGAAATACCTTTGTAAAGTCTATAACGCGATAAGAATGGGAGAAATGTAAAAGAAATTAAATTTTTTTTATCTCTATCACATATTTGTATGGTAATTTAGTGATTTGAGAGAATTCCAATTTTTCCTTTTTATTTTATTTTAATTTTTTTATTACTGTTACTCACACCGGTGTAATAATTTTTTTTTTTTAATTTAAAAGACTCTAAACATCTAAAGATCTAAACATCCTTGGAACTTCTTTTCTGTTTATTACCTTTTTTTGTCATAATGTAAATTTAATATATGCTAATATAACCATTGAAAAGAAATTCGGTCTTGCGCGGCATTAGTTGATTAAAATATTTAGTCGTAAATGAAGGTTTTATCTACTGATGGTAGTTATAAGCTAATTTCAGAGAAGTTATTACATATATAAAGCTTTTCAGGCTTGGTCCGTATAGTAGGTGCCAAACAATGAAATTCATCAGTTGAAGGCAAGCATGAGGGTAGGTAGACACATAGCTGCGGCCCTTGTAACCTCCTCTTACCTATATTTTGAGTGTGGATGCGTATGTATTTACTTACGCATAACGTAACGAAAGGGTGCACAAGTCAAACATGCCAGAGCTCTTCAGTTGGCCATGTGCTAGTATACGTGGGTTGCGAGTTTCACATTGTCGAGAGTAGTTGGATAGCTGACAGTTTCTCGAGTGCGTATATGGCTATATTATATCCTATGATGTTCCAATAACATTATATTTATTCCTTCAATTTAGAAACTATATCAATTTTCCGAATAGAATCCATACATTTTTTTATAAAATTTTGTTGATTGACTATATGAAACTATTAAAAGTGTGAATACATTACCAATGAATATACGATAAAAAAAAATACGGATTTTTATTTCTTTCAATAAATTCAGCAGAAGTTTTATGCCGAAAAGGAATCTTTGTTAATTACTAATTCGAGCTTGCTCAAAATTAGCACAAAGCATCCATATTTTTTCTTCCCTTTAATTAAATTCTGAAAAATATTTATTGAAAAAAGTAACGATGTTTTTTTTTTTTTTTTTTTTTTAAAGGAAAGTCTTTTTTGATTATAAAATATTTATAAATTATGTAGATTAAACATTAAATTAAAAGGACAAACTTCTAGTTTTTAGTAATTTGCATAAAGTACGAAAAAGCAAGATAGGGCCTAGGATTTTGTGAAATTTTTTAAAAACTATATGAGCATTGTAAGAGTTTGCTAATGGATTATTATCTAAATCCAAAGGACCCCAACGGCGGTAGTAGCAGCAGCAGCATCGTGAACAATGTTTTTAGCATCTCGTCGCGAATGCACGTAGCTCGTAAATGCTCTTCGGAATTTATTTACACCTTGATATCTCACTTACATTCGCACGCTCGTACTTTTCTGTATAAGCAAAGATGATAAATCACCTGACTTCTTACTTAATGTACAAAATCATACTATTTATTGACCAATGTGCAATGAAAGCTTGAGAAATTTTATAATCTGCATACTTTATTTGTTAACTGTAATGATAAATAATAAAGACAATCACAACAATAACTACTACTACTAGTACTATTACTAATACTACTACTCTGCTAATATAGTAATAACATGATAATAGTAATAGTCATAATATGAAGAAGAAAAAGAATAAGTACGATAATTATCTTTAACATTTATACAATTATAAATAGGCATTAAATGCATAGAAACCATAGTCATTCGGTTCCTATACATTACTAAACTTACTTCTAAACTATTAATAGCTTAATATTAATTTTATACGTCAGTTTTACTTGAATAACGAGTAAATTTATGATTTTAGCAAGTAAAAAATTGTGCTAACCGAGGTTGCGTTAATTTAAGACTTCATCTTAAGTTCTCTATTGGAATACTTGAAACATTTTCGACGTCTAGGCGAACGTGCCTACGATTCTTAATCATTTAACGTTACAACGTGAAAATCATTGACAATCTGTTCAAATGAAAATAACAATTAATTAATGTTACAGAACCTCGACGGCCAAAACATCTACAACTCGTGCTGCACCCTGCGCATTGATTACAGTAAAATGCAGAATCTAAACGTGAAGTTCAATAACGACAAGTCGCGGGACTATACGAATCCGACCCTGCCGACAGGTGACGCCAACCTCGACGCGGCGTCCCTCGCACTGGGAGGTGAGTTGCTGCCGCAGCTGCTTCTTGGGGCTGCTGGTTCCCAGCCACGTGCCAGACTGCCCGGTGAGTGTCTCGTTTTCGTCCGAATTGTCAAAATGAGAAACTCACGTACCGCAGACCTTTATCGAACATAGCTTTGTCGCGTAGACAGCTGCGTCGTTATCGCCTGTGCCTACGTCTGCGTACGTGTGCGCGTGCGTTTTATTATTTGTGTAGTGTGTCGTAAGTAATATGCTTGTTCCAAAATCTCATCTGACGTCAGCGCATGTTACGAGCTTCACTGATTAGTCGTTATTTATTAATGACTTGGCAGCTCGAATCTTAATTCCACGATTCGCCTCTCGACCAATTATGCCGTTTATAAAGCAGTATTTATGTGTGAACGTGTGAATGTGAGTCAAAATTTTCAAGAAGGTTTTCTCTTTTAATCGCAAGTACTCTCGACATTATTACATTGAACTTACCGACTCAATAATGCGTTCGGCGTAAATTAAAATATATTTTTAATCGATCGGTTAATAGATAATTCGTAATTAATCAGCAAATAGACACTTTTAGCGGATAAGCTTTCAAAAAAAATCGATCTATTTACTTTTTACGATTACCTCTGGGCCCATCTAAACAATAACGATATTTAATTTCATTATCAGACTCCGTAATTTCAAGACTTTGGGCACTTTTCTTTCATCACTAAGGTAAAATTCTCTCTGACTTTTCATGTACCTCATAGAGACACAGTATTTATAGCTTGACACTTCATTATTATTATCGACCGCCCGATGCTCCATCGAGTGCTTATTAATTTATTTACGCTCCAAAGAGCTTAGAAACTCTTGCTTAATCATTAAACATCAGATGCACCAAGAATAGTACTCGAAAACGAGTGCGTTAGAAGTATGAGCCAAGCAATTATATAGATAGCTCAGTGATCCCAAATTTATCATCATTTATAATTGAGTGAACATCGTCATTTGATCGATGATAATAAATAATAAAAATTAGAATAGTGACATGACAATTGGACATTGAGTTCAATTTAAATAGCACTAATAGGCACTAGAAGACTTGGTGATAAAACGCTCGATCGAGTCCCGATATAAAGGTGCTCGAAAAGCAACCGAGAGAAAACAAACAAATGCCAATTGTTGAGATGTAAGCTCGTGATCGATATCCCTTGTCGAGTACAGAAGGGACGAAGGAAGGAGACAATTTTAATAATGCGGGTGAATTTTCTGAAGTAGAGTCCATTGCAGGCGCACCGAGCGTCTTGACCTCGCCATTCGCTGCGATGCACGGATTGCCCTCACCGCTCACCGGACCTTACAACGGTGTACCTCCAGCTGGTGGATTGGCCGGGTTGGGCAGCTTCAATCTGGGTGCTGGTGCCTTAGGTGTGCGGGTCTCCGGAAGTCCTCAGCAATCCTGTGTGCTGCTTATCAGCAATCTTAATGAAGAGGTCAGTGTTGTACACATCTGTTAACGTACATTTTAATTAGTTCTATCCTTCTGTCTTTTGTTTCTAGGTTTCTCTCTTTTTTTTTAAATGTTTTTTTATGTATAGTTTTGTCTATTATTACTAATTTTTTATTTTACGCTGCTTTTTGTTGTAATAGCAACTGTAAGAAAGTGTCGTGTATAATCAGCTCAGCGTGCGTATGCATAGTTCTTTAAATCTCACCGCTTACCGATATTTCCATATTTTACAGTTTACTAGATGAATAATAACTACTGTTTCTATTATTATTTATCGTCCGTTAAACGATATTTCTAAATAAGCTTGCATTAAATATCGATTCGTGCATATTTAAAATAAATAACTTATTCATTGTTTTTCTATTAAGGGGATAAGCGATTACGCTCATCTAAATTATTATAAAGTGACAATTACAATTTTTGTTAAAATTTGTGTGCCTACTTATAATAAATAAATAATTTGTATCAATCGCATAATAATTTTACTTACAAAATTTGTTAATTATTATCACAAAATCGTTGTACTATATAAAGTCCGAATATACCAGTGCAAAGTAAAATGGGCGTTCTTTACATTTTTAGTCCAAGCCGTATATAACTTTACCACAACTTAAATATTAATGCATATGTATAAATAGAATATAAATTCTATGTATAAATGTAGTTTAATTCGAAAGTACGCAACATCGTTTAAATACAAAATATATTATAAATATTCATTTATTCATAAAGGTATTTTTATAATTTTTTATTATTATTTTTAGTATTCTCCAATACAATAATATTAAGCGTCATAAATATTTATAACGTATTTGAATGATTCTCAACATTTTGATATAAAACGAAATACGTTGTTTAAGCAAGGTAGGTAATCTTTATTTTTATCCCATATTTAATTTAATTTATCGATGAAAACAAATACAAGAATAAGTATACAATATTCCATATTAATATAATTAAGAAAAATTTTTCGAGGTATCATTAGAATATATAGTGCTTAAAAATGACACTTACATACTGTAGTTCTAGTTATTGGAATGATCTTGTAATCTACTTATTACTTCTGATATTATAAATACTTATAATAATTAATGATTAAAGTACGTTACCATAAATTCATAAATATTTTGAATTATTAATAGATTATGTATGTATATGTATATATTATATATTTAGACACCTGCATGCATGCATACATACATACATGCGCGCGTGTGTGTTGTGTGTGTGTGCGCGCGCGCGCGCGTGCGTGCGTGCGTGCGTGCGTGTGCATATGTATATGTTATATATAAGCAAGTAGAAATATAACATGCAAAGCTTGTACTTACTTATTGTTTAAGGTTTTGTTAATGAACAGTTATGTGAACGCAGTCTTATTATAACTTTTTTTATTTATATTCTTAAGTAACAATAATATAGCAGCAAACTTATTTCAAATACGCTTTTATAAAATGACATACATTATTTTGTAAGATAATAGCGTTTAAATTTCATTTGCTAGTCTTTCTGATATCTAGTGCTACGTAGTTGACTATTGCAGTCTTTCAAATTAAGTCTCTTTATTAAAAGTAATATTTTTTATACTAAAAATATTTACTATTATGTAGATGTAATGTTAAATAAAGGTTTCGAAAATTTTACTTTTATTAGTAACGCGTACTAATAAAGAGACATTACTCTATAAAAGATGTTAAAATAAAAATATAGAATGTAAATTGTACTGCTCTAATATTCACGCAACGAGATTGAATTTTTTCTTATTCAGTAGAGTTTTCACAATAAATCCAAAGAGTAAGTAAAAATTAAAGATCAATTTTGTACGCACAATGTCAAATGAATTATAACATAGTGAAAGGTAATTCTCGTGGTCATTGAGCACTACAATTTCCAATCTTTCCTGGTATATTTTCACTTCATAGATTTTAAAGTATCTACGATGCATATGCGTCTTTTTTCTATTGACACCGAACTACTACTTTCCTAATCCTCAGCCTTCATCTACAATTATTATATACATTAAAAATATGAAATTTAATCACTCCTGAGTCACTCTAAGATCTTTCCTAATTACCTCAAATATTCCGTAGCACGCGGCACAAAAGCGTATACAGCCGTTCAATTATATACATATTGTTTATTATACTTATCCATGAGGCGCCTTCGATCTGACTTTTCATACATTGGTACACGGGGTCTCAATTTAATGGAATGCTCTCCGAATCTTTATTTAATTATTAATAGTACTTGTTTAACTCATTGTTTATAATATAATACTTTAACTACTTCTATGTTGCTTTCTTGATCTATTTTTTCATTAATTGAATATATATGTTATGTCGAGGACGCCTCAGGAATCCGCGAATCGACGTTTTCACACTTTGCAGCTGTAACTTATCACTACTGTACTATAACTGTGTGTACTACTGTCGTTTTTTAAGCTGAGCGCACAAGCTTCGCCATCTCCATTCTCGCGTATCTTTTTCTGTGATTTATTGTCTTATATTTTTTTTTCTTATACTTACTGTACTAATTCAATTGAACATAAAAAAATTTCAATGTAGTGATCAATTAAATAAGCTAAATATGGAGAAAAAAACTAAATCTAGTTGGTGGTTTCGCTTTGAAATATTAAACACACAATTAAAACTGCAGTTTTCAAAGACATTTTAAACGGTTAAATAAATTGAAAATTAATCAATATCGTGATAAAGAAAAAAATTAATTTATTTGTAGTCTTAAAATAGTATTACCTTATAAAAGTGTATTTTTGTACATTAATTATATGCATTACGCATACAGTTTCAATATACCTGGAAAAAATACAATTTACATAGTTCGACAGACGCAAGAATAAATATGACTAAAATACTTGTGTCGATTATTATTTTTATAATCTATCAAATTTACACCAACATTTATAATTTTTACGTGTCAACATTTTTCGAACATTCATGCTTTTTATGCCATTCATCTAATAGGCATAAATAATATTCCAACAATAATTTAGACGTTAAGCTGATAGACGTCACGAATTTTTTTGTAATTTTTTTGTTTTTTAACCCTAGTTTAAAGAGAAAGTAATACGTTTAATTTTTGTACGCAAACTATATTTGTTTATTTTATAATTAATTTATTGATCAAATAAGCAACTTAGAATTAATGCAATTTTCATTACTTTAATATTCATCATAAATTTTGTAAACAAGAATTATTTTTTATTAATACTTTATAATTTATACAAAAAATTCGAAGGCATTAGTTTATTGGATGTATATCTCTAGAGTGAAGAAAAGCTCTTATTTGAAAATTGTCATTTAAGAAATAAAATAAAGTTTTACACTTCAAATGTGAAAAATGATTAATGTTAATAAGTAGCTCCATCAAATATAAGTAAGATTTGATAATAGAATTTTTCTATTTTTAATTTAATTGATCAATAAAATATCAAGGATTAGTTAATTGATACTCACGTATTTATTTTATGAGAAGAAAAGAATGGGTATAAGTTTTTTTTAATAAAAACAAACCATTCTTGTATTACTATTGCTTCTACATTTTATCTAAATTGATTTTCTGTATATAGTTTACGCTTTTTTTCATGTTTTTTTTTTTCAAAGTAAATAAATAAAAATGCGAATCTTGTGCGTATCTATACTATTACATTATATCCTATTACTCGCTGACTATTGACTGAACTCTGTCTGTTCTCTGTGTAGATGGTCACGCCTGACGCTCTCTTTACCCTGTTTGGTACGTCTCCACATTTATATTATTACTTATATTACATTATTAATTATTATATTTACGCTTACACTCAAACACACCATCAAATATGAGCAAAAAAAAAATATTTTGCCTAGATTTATAAATTTATTTATTTGTTTATATTATTATACCGTTTATACTTTTCTCACTAATAATTTTGAAATAAAACAATGTCCTGATTTTAGTATCATTATTTTATTTAATGTTTAAATACTAATAGCTATAATTTTCAATATATTGTTTAGTTTTAAATTTAACAACATATATCATAATACACAATCACGCTCAATCAGTATCTTTCAAAGTATTCATCTTTTCAACTTCTGTAATTTTTATATGAGTTATCTATAGCCTTTTTATTTATTTTAAATCTTCATACTTCCGTTTCACTAATTTTATGTTAAGATTTTTTCATTTTTTTCGTAAATACTTCAACCCATTTTTAACATATTATTCTATTTCATAGTTGCATCGTAATATCATTGCTATTATACGAAACATTTTAGTAATATTTCACGTAATTTTCTACCGATCTTAATACATGTGTCATTACACCTCATATCATATTTTTCTATACTTTTCTCTATATATCCAAGTATCTTTCTGAATTATTCATTAAATACATGAATATTATGAATTTCAAATACCTATCATACCATGTAAAAGCTTTCGCTTAATATACGTAAGTCTAATAGGAATTCAATTTCACGAACTGTTTCGCTCGAAGATTTTTTAAAATTATATTTTAATTTATGAAACAATTTACTTATAATTTATTATTACACCCTATTACTTTTAATTTTAATTAGTTAACATTATATCAATTGCTTATTAATTAGTCATTTTTATTGTAGTATTGATATGAATATAGTATTAACCTTTTATCGGAGGCAGTACACAATATATGTTAGCTGCGTCCTTGCAAAATGTAATTGATTGCACAAAACTTAACTATTAGAAGATATAGATAGTAATAATTTTATGCTGCAATCAATAAATGGTTAATAGTAAATAAAATTAAGTATAAAACAAGAATAAAAGAGTAAAATAAATGAAATATTTATTTAATCGGCAATTATTATTGTTGATGTTCTATTTGACGAATTAAAATGTATAGTCTTTTTTTTTCTTATAAAAATCCATAAAGCGAACGGTTCTTGCATGTATTAAATATAGAGAAAAATTTTAATTCAATTGCACCCTGAATCTTAAAAAGTCAGATTTCAGTATACCCCTATGATCGTTAGTTTAAAAAAAAATTATGTGTGTATGGACGTACCTTTAAGCACGATTGTCTAATTTATAATTTTTGCCTATAGGCGTATATGGGGATGTACAACGTGTGAAGATTCTCTATAATAAGAAGGATTCGGCATTAGTCCAGTTAGCCGAATCACATCAAGCTCATTTAGGTAAGCATTTTAGTATTTGTTGGATTTCGTAAGTTATCTCTTCATACACTTCTAATTCGTTCGAATAATTGTATTCAAATTATCAATACTATTATCATTTTATTACGTACTTAAATTGAATAATTATTCAATAATATTATTAACAATCACTTAGAATAGTCCAAATGTATTGTAAAATTATTTCTTACACTAATTATGCCGAAATTAATAATATATTAATATTATATTAATATTAATAAGATATTAATATTTCGGGAATTAGTGTATATCATTACGAATATATTTCCCACCTTACATTGAAACTAGCACAACTTGTTTATATGAAAATTAAATCCGATACCGTAAATGTATAACTATAAAATATTTTGTATTATTTATATGTTATATGTTTTTTTTTATTTCTCGAATAAATGATAAAATAAAGAAATTACAGAATAATAGTATCTTTAATTATTAACATCGTTGTATGATAATCGTTCGAATGCTTCGATCATATTCTAACTCAACGATGTTTGATATAACGATGTTTGAAAAGAAAAATGTAGGTAAATTATAGTAATAAATAATATTTTTATCATCATCGTCGTCATCATCATCATCATCATCATCCGAAAGAGCCTAAATATTATTAAATCCAGAAATTATAGCATATTGAAATAAATAATTCAATAAATTGCTTGAAATAAAGTAATAACCTCCTTGGTTGTACAGCAATGACCCATATGGACAAACTGAAAGTATTTGGAAAAGCAATTAGAGTGACGCTGAGCAAGCACCAGACTGTTCAGTTGCCGCGTGATGGCCAACCGGACGCCGGTTTGACCAAGGACTACACCAACAGCCCACTTCATCGCTTTAAAAAGCCTGGCTCTAAGAATTATCAGAACATTTATCCACCAAGCGCAACTCTGCATTTATCAAACATTCCGTGAGTAATTATTTTTATTATTATTACATTTTATCTCTATGCCAATAAATAAATTATTCAACATTTATCTCATTCGTTATTAAATACTTTTCATATTAATAGTGCCGTTTATTACTTGTTATATATATGCATGCTGTTTAATGTATATTTTCAATTATATAGTACGTATTTTTATATTATACAAAATAATATACAAATAATATACAAAATTCTTTGTATATTATATTCATATCGATGAATAGTGTTAAAGTATCATTGTTCTTTTATTATATATTATATAATTATCTATTTAAACGAAAATAATCTATAATTTAATTTATTAATAGAGCTACGGTATCTGAAGATGAGATTAAGGAAGCCTTTACGAAAAATAGTTTCACAGTCAAGGCATTTAAATTTTTCCCTAAGGATCGAAAGATGGCGCTCATTCAGATGCCTAGTATGGATGAAGCTGTATCAGCTCTAATTGTAAGTTAAAAAAAAATAATGCAATTTTTGTAATGTATATTGTTGTATGTATGATGTTGTTTAACTTGGAACTTTAGATTGTATGTTCATTAATTATTAATTTACGAATTATATTCTTAACTGTCTCTAAACTCTTTTAATTTTGTTAATTTTTTTATATGGATTTCTTACGTTTTTTTTTTTTTTTTTTTTTTTTTTTATAGAAAATGCATAACTACCAGCTGAGCGAGTCAAATCACCTGCGAGTGTCTTTCTCTAAAAGCAACATCTAACAAGACAGACCAGCGTACGAGCCTCAGCAATGGTTCCAGCCCTACACCCTCGTTCACTATTGGTACCCCAGTGCCGTACTGCATGATTGAAATGAGAATAAAAGATTGACCTCATTTCGTTTGACTCGATAATGACGTACACATAAATTGCATGTATCAACTCGGCTGCCAAAATGTTAATCGTCACGAGATAAACGACTTACATACGACTAAAGTTTTTAGCGAAGTGAGACCAAAACAAAAGTACACACTGATATTAAGGCATCATTGCTGCTGTCAAGATGTCTGCAGTCTTACATCTTCGTAATATTTTGTCGTGTGCACACGGTGCGTGGGATTATGAAAAATATTTTTGTGATTGTGGGGTAGACCATAAGGGCTGGGAGTTGCGAGTGACATAATGACGACATTTAGGCTTCTGCAACCATAACCCAGAAAATAATAAAAAGCACCGACACATCGTTCCTAGCTGCGAATATTTTCATCCATTTTAAAGTTAAACAAATGAAACAAAACAGAAGCCAAAACAGTCGTCTGCTCTCGTTCCAAGAAAAACTCACCCAATGTACGCTGTTCTTTTTTTCGCTAGAATCATAAAAGTTAAAATAATACAAAGCATGTTAAAAAAATACAGAAAATTTTTGAAAAGATCTAACTAATAATACAAGAAACGAGACATAAAACAAAGGCGGACGTGATTGTAGCGAGACGATGCGGAAAGGGGCTTCGACTGACGGTCCTCATTCATGTACAGACTTTAAACATATAAACATACAAACAAAAAAAGCAAAATACAAATCCTAAGATATATTATATATATTTTACAAACGTGACACGCTGGCTACTCGATGAAACGAGACTTACTCGTACGTACGTCTTCTAGATTTTCGTTCGAGGCCGGTAATGGCACTACACTGATGCATAGTAGGAGTTAAGGGTTTTTAAAATTATCTTGATACAGGTAAAATAAAAAATATGAAAGAGAGACAGTAAAAATTCTTATAAGAACGAAGAGTAACGAGCGCTCGACGTTAGCGTATTAAATAATATAGAAAATCCGAAGTATAATGGCCGGAGCGAAGACTTATTCGTTAATTCAAATAAATAATCGTCGCGTGCTCGTCGCTTCTTTCATTTATTTACGAGGTGAGCACTTAACACATAAGAAAACTTTAGCCTTTAAGAAATAATGATGGAAGATGAAAAAAAAGCCAATGTCACGAGACCCTTTGCAGCTCGTGCGAAGTGCTACTTGTGCACGTTTTCTTCGCTGCGTTGCGATGTGCTTCGGATTTTCAATAATTACGGGTCATCGAATGAGTTGGTGGATTACCGACATGATTTTTCATGTCGGTCATAAAGCATTGTTGTTCGAATTTCATTAATCTTACCAGTAATTGAGATGTACATTCATGGTGCACTTTTTTCTTTATTAAATTTTAATATTTATAAGAATTGATTTATATACAAGGTACAGTATTCTTGAATAAACGGCTGTTTTTTCATATATCTCGATTACTGGAAGAACGAAGATAATTAATACAATGACGATCCGTTACTATGTCGTACATATGTTGAGGGTGTTGATTCTTTTTAATATAATTATTAATAACTCTTCGGTTTCAACGATAAGTATTACAAGACACGCACATTAAGTATAATATGTCGAGGTGCGCACATTTTAACACTCAAATCACTTGCTACACAACAGAGAACGGACAGAAAGATTTTGAGCAAATGGAACGATGAAATATCAAAGCGAAGAGAAGGGATAATATACGATTTCTTAGTTTAAGTAGTTGCTTAGAGACACATAGACCTTAATCTAAACGTAAATCCTTAGTAAGTATAAGAGGGAGGAGGAGGAAGATGAGGCGTAAACGTTGAACGTTGAACATATCGTACGTTGCGAAGCTTATGTTTACGATTACTTATTGGCTATGTGCTCTTGTAGCATAGCGCGGTTGAGGAAAAAAAATAGATACTTTGGCTTATTTCTATTGACTACTTAAAAAGACGCGTGCGCTTTTACTCGCATATTATATTATTACATACGAAATTGAAATTATAGCAAAGCTTCGCAATTGAATAAATCCTCGAAGAGTGTACTAAACAGAATATCGCTAGATTCCAAAATATCAACTATTATTCGCGAAATATAGTGCGTGGCTATGTTGTAGCCAAAACATAATTTCGAAAAAAAAAACAAGATTCGCGACGGGAAACTCTTTGATTTAGTTCGATCGACACAAAAAGAAAAGAGATAAAAAAAATTAGCACGAACATTGACGCATCAGTGGGAGTCAATTAACTTTTAACGATATATTAGGAAGTGAGATTGTGAGTAAGCATAAATGAGTGAGAATATACTTTGTTAGTTGAATGATTCTAAATAGAGAAATGCATCCACAACATGGAAACGAAGAAAAAAGGGTTTTGCAAGAGTTGATGTTAAAAAAAGAGTATATATAATATTACAATCAAGCGAGTGCCGGCCCACAGGTAAAAAAGTTAAGGATTTGAAAGGGACTAGTTTGTGCCAAAGTAAGCTAAATTTTAAATTTCTGGAAATGGATCATGTTAACCAGAGCATTCTAATACGTCAATCACAATAACTTTCATAATTTTATTCTTCATTCATATCAATTCCTATGAAAATATATTTCTAACATATGCCATTTTTATAAAATATGAATTGAAATCTATAAATTAGTAGATATATAATTTCATATTTCATAGATTATTTTATAAATTTTCCATGAATATTTATATTTTTAAATTATTCACATAAGTTTTCAATAAAAGTATACTTTTTAAACAGCCTTTTTGATACTTTTAATATATGGCTTTTTTCTTTTCTTTTTTTCTAACAAATATCTATATTTTGCAAATATTAAGAACATGAAGTTTTGTGCTCTAAAAGTAGAAATACTCGAGCACAATTTTAATTCAAGAATTCATTTTCGAGTATTTATGATTTGGAATGTAGGATAATTGACCATTATTATATGATAATTGAGCCGGCATAAGCAAAGGGGCCAGTCTTTGCATTCTCTATGATCTGTCTTTCGAATCTCTCTAATAGCGTCGTTAAATACTTATATCATCACGTTGAGCAATTTTTTTTTCTTATTTTTCGGAAAGACTTAGTATTATTTTACTTTAAGAAAGTATTATATTGAAGCATAAGTCTTGTTATTTGACATATTGATACTAAGTTAAGAGGATTAATTTTTTTAGACCACCTCCTTCCTCTTTTTAACTCCAATTATTTTTCACTTTATAAATGACGAATCTTTGTCTGATTTCTCTTAAGCATTAGTATAATCGAGTATTATGTAATCTTTTTTTAATGGGGTGCCCAGTACACGATCATGTGGCATCTAAAATGCGAAACTATTTCCGTAGTTCTTATTCGACCGATAGATATGAAAGCGACAGGACTTCATATTTCTTACAGTTACTTATTCTAACTTTTTATTTTACTTTTTTTCTTTTTTTTACAATCTCGTGAGAAAATATTTCTTTCTTCTAAAATGCCAAATTCTATAAGATGACAAAAATATATTAATAACTCGGATTATTGATCCAGCCACCCGTTAATCTTTCCAATTAAATAATGTTTCTCGAAAAAGGAAATGTAAAAATAACGCCTAAAAAAATATTATTGTGAATTTATTACTGATTAATACAAAATCAACTATTTTTATTTTTAAATTTTAATTCATCATGAAAGATTTTAGATTTTTTTATATAAAAATTTCCTTTATCGATCAACCATTACGAGAAATTACATGGATGGCTTGGAAAACGTATCACATTTAGCTGCGTTGAGGGGGGCCGAGGTGAGAGTTGGGATAGCCAGCGCTTACTAACAGGTGTCATAATGATTCGGACTCCGTTTTTTATTCTAAATTGTGAATTAAATAATCCGTTATTATATTTTTATTTATAGAAACAATATTAACTGTTTTTAGAAATTAATATGAGATCTTTTTGAATACACGAAGTCGGAGTTCGGATCTAGCCACGTAGTAGTCAAAAATGCTTATTCTACAGAGCGTATAAATAAATATTAAAGATTAAAATGAGAATATAGAATATATTATAAAAAAGAATAAAGAGTAAAGAAACATTCATAAGTGGCAGTTTATGCCCTTTCACGTTTATTATACGTATATACATAATTCCCTTATATTTGATATATCGCTGGTTTTACGATAAGGTGTCCAGAAACAAATAATACACGAGTGGTTACATTATGACTATATTTTATTAATAATACGATGAAAGATAATCGATGTATATGGATACAATACATTTTGTAAAATAATGTTTGTTTACTGATTTATAATGTTTCAAATTTTTTTACAATACATGATTAAGCTAAGAAATTAAAAAAAAAATTGCATGTTTAAGTGATTTTATGTGAATACATTACTTTTAAATTAAATAAAAAATCGTTCAACGTATTTGAATTTTTTTAATAATTATGTATGATGGAGAGACCAATATTTTCCTTTTAAAGTCTAATTTTATAACTTTCGATTACAAATTGGCCTAAAATTAATATATTAAGATTGCAGAACAAGAAACAACAAAATACAATTAAGAATTTTGATCGATAAGGATAAACACAGATTTCTCCAATGTAAATTGAAATAGTTATATAAATCATAAACAAGCTTTTATGCATAAAAATTGATACCGCACACAAAGTACATAAAAATGAACGCTGAAGTAAGCTTAAATATTGAAGGTTTGAACTAAAAGTGAAAATAAAAATTTTATACTTCAAAGTTTTTTTTTTCACTTAAATAAACTCTAATTTAGTTTTCTTAAAAGTTGCCTTGAAATGTATTGAATAAGTATTCCTTTAGTCACACAATGATTTTCAATCATTTTAATTTTATCTTCATTGAACATTCTTAATCATGATGATATCTATTGTTTTTGATTGCATAAAAATGTGCTTTTAAGAAAATTATACTTTTTAAAAAACAAGTTCAATCATCAATTTTTACGTTAATGTTATGCAAAAAATTATTTGTATACTATAGAAGGAATTGTAAAATGTGGCGATTTTAAACTGTTTTATTTTATTAAAAGAAAAACGAATGCAGAAGCATTCAAATATGAGAGGACACCTTCGGAAAGCCCGAACCCCCTCTTAGATAACAATAACAAAAAAATAAAAAAAAGAAAATTATGTCGGGATGTGACGATTTATGTAGGTAGACATAGGCAGTAGGTTAAATCGTAGTGATTTAAATGGTGAAACAAGAGAATAAGCGTTTGCATAAGAAACATAATAGCGTCTTCTAGACTTGCAGTAGCTTCTTTTTACACTTTAAAGGTTGATAGAAAAAAAAAATAATAAAATGCTCCAATCATAATATGTACAGTTAAAATGACAATCACTCTCTCTATTGACAATTGACAGCGGAAAAGCTAATAATTATTTCCAAGCTACCACGCACGTATTCTGTCTATTCCAATAAATGCTTTATTTTATTTAAATTCTGATTTATTTGTAAAACATTTTAAAGTATCCATAAACGAATTGTAACTGCGCTTGAGATTTTTTCTAAATGTATTTTCTTGCGGAAATAAAATAGAATGGTAATTGCCTTGATAACTCTAGTAATACCATGCTTTTCGAGCAGTGAACAAAATGAAATATATTAAATAGTGATACATACTGAGTAAACAAGGCTATTATTTTTTCTAATAGAAGCGTAATTAAGCATTTTCAAAGGTCTTACAGCGACTCGTTTTGAAGATGATTGTAACTGAAACATGTCCAGGCCTTTTACAGTACAAAAACAATCTATTATTTCCCAATCATGTGGTTTCCATGCTTCAAGTATTTTACTACCAATTCTATACTTTCCCTTCACTTCCCCTGTCGCCTTTCGAAATTTTATAATTCTATTTTCTCCAACATTTCAATTGCACGGATTAACCGAGATAATAAAAAGAGTTAAATATTTTTAAAAAAATGCGACACCGGTACTGGGCCAGGAATTGCGTTGCAAGTCACAATCAGCTCGGCTCCGGCAAGACAAATCATTTTTTTAAGAAAATCGAAGACAATTGTCAGAGCGAGCGTTTTAAAAGTTAAGCTCCTTATAGTTAGTTGATTAGAGATTAGACAAACATCGGGGATGAATAAAAAAACAAACGGTCGTTTGTAAAGTTGTACGCAGACGATAATATCAAAACT